TAGTTCCACTTGCTCTTCAGACTGTCCCATGTTCTCCTTGTAACAGTTTTCCTTTGTTTTAGATTTCCTGGTTGCCTAAGAGCCCTGTCTGACAGTACTTAAGAAATACTGCTAGGGTGTCAAGGGCTAAGTAATGCTGACAACAGTGGGGTTATGACCTGGAAATGCAGTGGAGAAAGGAATTGGCTAATAGTGAAAATATTTGTAGGGCTTGAAAAAAAAAGGGTACTACAGATGTACCTGTTTGTGTATCCTACCCAGATAAGCCAGAATCTACACTAAGAGAAAGTCCCAAACTCTAGCATTTCAGGCACAGAAATAGAGTTCAACTGACTCTTTAAAAGAGGGTGAAAAGGGATTTCAGATATTCTCTGCACACCCAAAGCAGCCAGCAGCAGCATGATGGCAGTTCTAAGTAAAGGGCCTTAATCACAGTATATAAAAAGACTGGAATGATGTTTGAACAACACGTCCAGCTCCCAAGCATTGTCTCTTTCCTGCTATCAATGACACCCATTGTGCAAAAACAACATTTGCATAGAGATATGTCCCCTTTTGTGCACGGAGAATATATTGAAGCAGCTAAAGGGCTGCACTAGCCTCAGCTAGAAAAGTCTCCAAGGGCCTGCCTGCCAGCTGCTGACTGATGTAGAGTTGCTGCTGCTGATAATAGGGCACATGTGCTGGCRTGGAGCTCAACCGGGCAATCTGGGGCACACTCAGATGTGCTCAACAAGGATCGAGTTCAAACCTGTTTAAGAAGTTAGTTCCCGTCAGTGGTGATTTAAACTAAGKAGCTTTGGTTTGTGTTGGAAAGGACAAGGAATGCTCACACGGTCAGCTACTTCATCTTGGCTGTCACAGTGGTGATTTCAACACAGTCACAGCAGTCTGAAAGACAATGAACAACTGAGATCTRTGACATCCTAAATCACACAGACACAAGGTGCTAAAGGTCTATTTCCATTAGATATTTGCCTGCTCACATGTAGCAGAATTATGCTACATGCTTCACTTTCTGAGCGGTTGAAATCAAGAGGTGTGAAGACTTCTTTTAAGATAGATATCATTGTTCCACACTGAAAATGGTTATTGTTAGTGGAACGTTTCTGATCCATTCAAGTGCAGGCAAAATGTCAGTGTAGGTGGGACTAGAAAATGCAGATTTTTTTTCCCCGTAGAGATAAACGTACCATCGTTGAAGAGCAAACATAAATTCCCCCACTCTCCTAAATGCTCTCACCGGAGAGGAAATTAAAAAATGATCAGTGCAATGTTCAAGAAACATAAATACACTATTAATTAGGCAAATGAGCACCATAAATGACATTTGTGTTAATGTCACGTAAATTTATCATCAGCCATGTTCCTCCTAGRGATACCTCACATGTGCTACGTGGGATATACCATTGTGTGAATGGTTCACACCATCACATATCACAGAGATTGGCTGCACTGTTTTCCAGGCTTAGAAGCCAGGGTTGGCCTCGTATCAGAGCAGTCATTGAGCAAAGTTGCTGAAAATAGTTCCTCCATGTTTCCCAAAATTGTTCAATTCCTTCATTTGAAGAATGAAGGAACTCCCTTGCACAGCAGGAAATGCAACTAAAGGTTTTCCTAGTGATTATTACCTCTTGGAAGAACTAATGCCATATTCATTCTGATGGAGAAACTGAGTTCCAGAGCAGCAATTCAGCTGTTATTCAGCTKTTCCTGGGAGATGCCTAGTGAGGGCGCCTTCAGGTAGATCCACAAAAGTCTTTAAATCCTAGGCAAACTCTTGAGTTATAAGTAAAATCCAATTTTGAGATTCCAGCTGGTTGTGTCAACAGGAGTTCGGATATTAATATTAATAATAATAATAATAATAATAATAATAATAATAATAATAATAATAAAAGCAGAGTAACTGGGTGCCTTCCTGGCTTGGACAAACTATGATTGAAGAAAAGATGACTTCTTCCTGGAAAAGCATTGTTCTGTCTGCTGAACAATCACTTTATTATTATTTACTTTRCCACTTTATAGTGAAGTGGCAGTTGGACAAATACAAGGAAAATGGTTTCAGTGTTGTTACCCTGGCAAGGATCCCACTGACCACAATAGTTACTTTACCTTTGCGTGGATTAAGAGAACAGCAGGATCTGAACAGCTGGCCACTTAGTTGGGTTGTTAGTATTCCWAAACCTATAATAAGGCAGTGCTGAATGCAAGTGTCTTGTAAGCTGAATACAGAGATCCTACAGCATCACTCAAGGCCTCTTGAAGGCAATGCACACAACATACGAAAGGAAGCTGTAATCTATAATGCCACAAATCCTTCGTGAGGATTATCTCTCTTATCTCATCTGGCATCAGAGAATTACATGTAATATAGACACATAAATGGCTTAGTCACAAARAGATTCCTCAGAAAAAGAATTCTAAAGCAGAGCGGAAGAGGAGAACAGAGAGGAAGTTTTGTTTGTTTCTAAGCCAGAGAGAAGAGGGACAGCTCTGCAAATGACAAGCATATCAGAGCTAAAGTCATGTTTGGGTTCACTTGGGAGAATTTGCCGAGAGAACTGAGTCCTCAGAGCCTTGCTTATGCAAAGCATTTGCATGTAAATGTAAATGTAGTCATTCACAGCCATGCAAAGGGAGGCTTGTGCCTCCATTTCCCTAAATTCAGCCAGTCTGCCTGAGTGTCAGGGACTATGGGAAGTGTAAGACAATGATTAAACCCTGTAGCTCCACACTGGCCAAACAAAAGCCATAGATTTGAATAATTTGAGCKCAGGATAGGATTGCTTGACTTACAAGGCTCACTTGCTGACCTAAACAGATTTATTCATTGCAGAGCCAGCCTAGATAAATTTTTGGTAGTTCTCTCCTACTGCCTTCACTTATTTTTCTTTATAGGACCCTGCTGGTTTTGCCAAAGACAAAACTTACTAAGCATGATGCAGGTTCCCTGCTTGTAACTTCTTTCCTTGTAACTCCTACCTATCTTGTCTCTTTTTACATGTGCGAGGTTCTAACCCAGCCTTGTACACTTGCTCTGGTTGCCTTTTTCCACTCTTCTTCACTCTGCCTAACATCACATTTCTCTTCTTAAAATCTTACACTTGGTTTTTTTTGGGGTTTTTTTTTTTTTTTTTTTTTTTTTTTTTTTTTTTTTTTTTTTTTTTTTTTTTTTTTTTTTTTTTTTTAAGCAAAGAAGATTTGGGCTTTTTCTTCTAAGAAATACTCACCAACATCCTTTCCCTCTCCACTTACCAGCCAGTTAACAGCCCCCTTCCATCCTTTCACATCTCTAACAGCACTGGCTATGTTTTCTGTTGTCCGTAAAGCAATGTCAGGGGCTGTCTCAGACCCTCTCCAGTCCAGCTCCTACACTTCTCATTTATCTCAAACCACTCTCAACAAGCTCCCTAACAATGGTAGAAAAGAAGAGAGAGGCCATGTGGGCATACCTTAATGTTGTGAACATCTACTTTTGTATTCTCCTGTTTTGGGGACTCATTAACATTACACTAAAATTAATGAAGACTTTCCATTGATGTAATGATCGTTTGATGAGGACCAGCAAAATCTTACATTATGTGAGTCAGAGTTCAAGAAGGAGTTCCAGYATTTTCATTCATACATGGCTCATTTCCTGTAGCTTTCACACTGTCCTTTCCACTTGACTGACCTCTGTCTGATCGTATACAATCTCCTTTATATTCCCTCTTACAGGATAAGTAGTTGGATGTGCATAGAAGAATGTTCCATTTTCTGAAAGAATTTCTTGGATTCCCTGAAGAGATTAGTTCAAAATTTTAATTAGGGGCATTGGCAGAGTTCCCAAATGCTGGTATATTAGGCTGTGCTTTTAATTTTCATCACCCGATTTGGTTCCTATACAATGCATAGGATTTCTGATGAGTAGTTTACTTGAAATGATGCACATTTTGTCCCTCCAGTTTTTGTTCATCCCGTTAATACAGWTGAGTCATGATTGGCAGCAATGTCTTGTTGTCTCCTTCCAAAGACTGGGGAGATTGCCCAATATTCTGAGGACAATTGTCCAAAAGATGTCAGAGTTTGAAGTGACCAGTCAAAGWTCCACTAAAACTCTGGAAGGCATACAGGATGCAAGTGTCATTAATTAAGCTCTAAAAACCTACAGTGCTGTGGGAACCTGGCATAAAATACACAAGCTGAACTTTGTTTGCAACTTCCTTCTAKTTAGGAATTCATTAAAGAGCTGAAGCATTTGCAGAGATTTCAGGACCCAGCGCTAGAACGGCTAATTGCTGGCTCAGTCTTTTGTATACAGTGCAGCACATAAAAGGACTGTGATCAAAGAATTAAGGTGCTGCTGAGGGCAATGAGAATGCAAGCACAGTGATTGCTTGCCGGATACAATATATAACGTTTCATTTAGCCGTGCTTTGCTTTGGTTCATGATAGGATTTTGTAGGAATTGCTGAATGATTTTGACTGGAGCAATTTAGCAAATGCATTGTTTAAGCAGAACTAGAAGTTTATACCTGTTCTTTCATCTTCCTTCTGTTTTTTCCTCTTCTAGCACCTGAGGGAAACATAACCACTACTGCAGATCTTACTTAGATGAAAACTTTGGTAAGTTAATTGCAGTTAATTTTTGCTGGACCCGTGATCTTGTAATGGAGGAGAATGAAAGTTGCACAGTATAGCTTAGCTTACATATCTTCACTGCAAGAGCAGAAACAGTCACAAATAATTTCACGGCTATATTTACCATACCTAGATTTTTTTCAGTTCCCACTCTGTTCTTATCCTGCCGATTTTTTCATATATTGTTCTCATCAAATAGAAAAGAGAAGTCTATTGTGAGGCTTTCTCCTTTTTTAACAACTATCCTATTTGATCAGCCCCCCAAAATAGCACAAGCCATATGAAACAAGTGGAGCTGTGGACCCTGTCTTGGAGAGCATGCATGAGTAATTAAATAACATGTCCTTCTGTCACCATTTTTGCAGGGAAGGGGATTAAAATCTGTGTTCACAGGCTGAGAGCGGGTGTCTGTGATGAGACCCCATGCTGTGACACGGATGCAGCACATTCTTACATGAAAAGCCCTGGCTGATGAAATGACCACAGGAAGACAACATGGAACCCTCCCAGCACAATCAGAAGAAGCTTAATTAAGCTCTGTGGTTAATTTTAAAGTGAGTGTGGGCCTGTTTTAGAAAAGCATTAAGAGAACTGAAAACATGGCATTTTAAAAAATTATATTCTGCTCTTCCTGACATTCTTCCTGACAAACTGTCTTGTTTCTTGCATGGTCAAATGATACAGTGACTCAGAAATGAACACACACGTGTTTACGTAGATGGGATTTAGTAACTTGTCCAATGTGGTTTTAGAGGCTTTTTCTTAGTTGTGGACGTTTTTTTCCTTTGGCAGAAGGCAGCACTGAAATGCTGAAATGAAACCCACAGTTTCTGCAGTTATTCTCGACACAGTTTTTTTAGTTGTAATTATATGACCGAAAGCATACAGAGACTACAAATTCCCTATAATCTTGTTAGAACTTTCATTAGRCAAGGTAAAAACATAATTGGCAAGACTTGGAGAAAAGATTAATTTTTTACATTAGTATTATTACCAAAAAAAAAAAAAAACAACCAACCAATAGTACTGGCGGCAACAGTACTTTGCCTTGTATTATTGTGCTTTTCCACTTCAGAACTTAAAATGCTTTCCTTATTTCTGTAAAGCAACTTGAGAAATTCTTTGCATTTACACGTGTATGACTATGACTATTGCAACAGTGGTAAAGCAGAGGTTTGAAACAAGAACCACTTGCTTTGACAATGCAGTGAGTCAGTGTTGAAAGTCAAGACTGAAGTACTCGTGCCCACCTTAATGCCAAATATGGGGAGAAAAACTGTAACCTAGCTACACATGGATTGATGGAGTGACAAAGAACAGCTTAAAGCTTCGTAGACACCTTTGCTTTACTCAGTAGAAGAATTTGCCCTTTCTTTCTGGTCTTTTTTTTTCAGTGTGTTTTTTTTTTTTCTTTAGTCTCAATACAGGCAAGGTCCTTCTCAAACATGAAAGAAGGCTCTGTCTGAGAAATTCATTAGCCAAATTAGACATAAAATAATGAGGGGGTGAGAAGGAGGCAGCAAGGGATGGGGATGGGAGAGGAAATGTGGACAAGGATAGCTAGAGACAGTTCTCTGCTAGGGTAGCTGATTAAAACAATGGTACTGTACCTTGACTAATGTAGAGCTAATTAAAGCTGTATAGGACAAAGCACTTCTAAATATACTATCGGGATCAATCTTGTCATGGTAAATCCATCCCCAGTGAAAATTCATTGACTTCAATGTGTTTTCTTCTGGGATGAATTTGGACTGATAACCTAATAACTCTTTTCTGTCTTTAATTTCTAAGGACTTTTTGTCAGAAGCATGGCAAGGAACTTCAGTCTGGCTTTCAAAAGTGCTGAACACCCAAAACTCCTGCCAAGGTCTCCTGGTATTACAGGTACTTGATATCACTGCTAATTTAAGCTGTATTAACTATTTCATGTTTGTTGTGAGTTTGCTTTGTGTACCATGACAACACATCTGCAAAACCACCCTAAGCCAACCTCCTAAATCTTCTGCAGAAGAAATTTTTTATGCATCACCTCACACTATGCAATGCAGAGCTTAGCAAAGGCCTCTAAGCAATAATACTGTAAAATTAATTAGTAAAAACATCAGTAAATTATAAATCCCCATCATCTGTATTTGCAGGGCAAAGGAGAATATGTACTTGGGCTGGTTATGCATACTTTTGTTACCCAGTTTCCAGCTGACTGTCCCTGGTCTGATTTGTCAGATARACTATGTTCAATGTGTTCATAGTTTGTGTAAACTTAAGAAACTTGTCTTTTTATGCCCCTGCAAAAACCACATTGAGAAACAGGAAAAAATAAATGAATGCATCTTACAGTGGAAGTTACAGCTGTCATTGTTGAGGTGTCCAGGACTATCAAGTAAAACCACATCAGACTTTTTTTGAAAGCTTCAAAGGAATCAGAGAACATGCTTTTTGGAACATTTTTCCTTTTACTGTACTACTGCTGTAAAGACCTCTCTGCTTCGGCTTCCTCTCCTTCGGCTCTCTCTCTCATGGAAGCTGTACATCGTATAATGATAGTGTTTCAATAGCACACTGCTTTCTCTCATTGAACTTTTTGGCTTTAACTGAGAAAAAAAAAACACCCAAGGAAACAAATTTCCAACAACAGAAACCYCCACCATTCAATTGTGCTCTGGTTTTATTCTGACGGCTGGCTCTGAGAGGAAGATTACTAGTTTATCTCTCTTACTTCAAATACCAGATCTGTTCGATTATCCAAATGTTTGGTTTTAAAAAGGGCAGCTCCTGGGGATCTTAAAGAAATCCACAATACAACAGGGAAGGAATATTATAGACTGTTTTGGGAAAAAAATACAATGAGGGGAAAACATAACATACAATAYATTTGGTGTGAACTTTTCCCAGAAGATTGCTTGAGACTCATAGTTCACTTACAACCGAAGTACAGCGATGCCGGGCAGCCTGCCAGCTCTTGTTATTGTAGCACTGTGTGAGCCAGTTCCCTGGTGAAGAAAGAAAGAGAGTGAGAGAGAGACTTTTCTTTGCCTTTCATAAGTGTCCCATACTTTCCCCTCTGCTCTCTCTGAACACCCATCCACTCTTTACATCACGGTGCTCTGGTGCGTGCTACACTGTGCAGAAGTCGTGCTACTCATGTCGCATGTGGCACTGTCACAGTTCAAGAGGGCTGACGCAGGGCTGCATCGCCTCACCGCACTGGGGGTTTCAGATGACAACTCTGCCTGACAGTCTAACAGTAAGGCACCCTGTGATATGTGTAGTGAGGATGAGTAACACCTTGTCCTCACAACAGAAGTATCTGGGAAGGGAAGCATTCCTAGGATTGGGTGCCAGGCTAAGTTGCATGTCTACACTGAATTTTGCAGTCAGACGTGAGCCAGGATAGCTTGGGCTTTATACCATGCTACAGATGCCAGTGAGGCATCTCTGACTTGCTCAGAGCACTGGCAGACCTCCTTCATGTCAGCCTAAAAAACAGCGTGCAGACACAGATGAGCTAAAGGCTCACAGCCTGGCCCTGAACGTAAAGCAAAACTGAGTACGGATGAAAGAGGCCTCCCACATTCTTGCATCTATATTCTACCTGGAAATTCATCCAAGAACATTTCAAAATCAGCAAACATGGCATGGGGTTGTTTTTATTCCACCCCTCCACATCCACACACCTCCTCTTCATGTTGATATGCTGCCTTGAACCCAGAAACTACAGCACTCTCTGGGAAGCACTTAGACAGCCTCTATCAGAAGCATGCTGGGCTCCCAAATGTGATAAGAAGCTGATAAAAATTATCTAGGCGTTAAAACAGCCTTAGTGGAAGAATGTTTAGCTAAATAGATACCATCTGTCCCTTACAGAGAGCACGTCCTTGTTCTGCCCTGGCCTGACCACTGTGAGCTATTGCTTTTGTGGTGCAGTCCATGTGGAACAGGCTGTTGTTCCCAGGACCTGGGGCAACTGTTTATGCAATGTGGACTTTATGAGAAACAGTTACAGTTGCAGGGTTTTGTTGGTTTGGGGTTTTTTTAAGAGTTAAAGATTGGTAATGAAAACAATATTTTTTGCCTAATACAGAAAAGTATTGGACTGGATCAGCTCAGCTGAATGCTCATATTGGCTCGCATAGCACGTTTCTCTGGGGCAGCCAAAGAGGGAAGGAATCCTGAAGAACTATAAGCAGCACACAAATTGCCAAGAGAACTTTCACATCAATACCAAACAGCACAAATATTTTCCAAGGGACACTAGCAGCTGGCACACAGCACWGACTACAGCTTTTTAATGCATTTTCTTTACCTCCTCATGACACAGTTGAACAGAGCATGGATAGACTGGCACTGCAGATGGCTCTTTGCGCCGCTGTGCAGATACATAGGAAAGAGGTTAAAGACAAGAAATAAGAGGGTAACTTGCTCTATAGTGGGACAGACAGACCATCCAGCTAATCTAAGCAAATTCCAGCTATGTTGTAAAAATGAATCCAAATTTCTGCCATGGGTGATATTGAAAGGTCAGGCTGGCTGAGCCATCTCACCTAAAGGCAGACAGATCAATGCCCAATGATGGATGTCAGAGCCCTGAGGACACTAATGGTCCATAATGCTCATGACCAGCCTAACTTGCAGCCTCCACCCCTTCCCATAGAGCCAAGAGCTCCATCTCAGCTCAGGCCTGGACCTCCCTCTCTGTTTGAGCTGTGCTGTAGGTAGAGTGCAATGGAAGAGTGGCATTGGAAGGGACATGCAGTGATCATTGATTCCAACTGCAAGACCACTTCACTGCTGACCTAAAGTTAAAGCATTCCATTAAGGGCATTATCCAAATTCCCTTTAAACACTGACAGGCTCAGGGCATCRCCCATCTCCYTAGGAAGYCTGTTCCAGGGTTTGACCACCCTCTCAGTGAAGAATGTCAAYGTCAAATGTTTCATAATGTCAAATCCAAACTTGTTCTGATGCAGCTTTATAACATTCCCACAWGTCCTGTCCCTAGATGGTCACTAGGGCCAACACCTCCCTCTAAACTTCCCATCCTYGGGAAGCTGTAGGGAACAATGAAGTTTCCCCTCAAGCTCCTTCTCTCAAAACTAGACAARCCCAAAGCCCTCAGCCACTCCTCAMAGGACATGCCTTTCAGCCCCTTCTCCAGCTTTGGTGCCACCTCTGGGTTCGTTCAAGGACCTTCACATCTCTCTGAAATTGTGTGGCCCAGAACTGCACATGGTCCTCAAGRTGAGGACACACCAATGCTAAATACAGTGGAAAAGAGGTGTGCCTGTGTCTAATGCTGACCCTGGAGCTTTCTCCTTTGTGGACCTCAGATCTTTGTTGTAGGTGGCTTCTTTTCTGGATGGCTCTCTCAGACAGATGATTTTGGGGTTTTTTCTTCACTCCTGTCTTTGGTCCTGCCTGCTTTGAACCCGGCAGATTGTTATAACCAAAGTGCAGGACCCGGCACTTCTCCTTGTTGAACCTCATACRATTGGCCTTGGTCTGTTGGTCCATCTTGTCCAGATCCCTGTTAAAATCTCACACAGCACCTCACTGGCTGCTGTGGGGGGCTGTGGTGGTATTTCTCAAAACAAAAGATTTGCTAAAGGGGGCAGGCAGGCTCCAGGTTGTTCCAGTTCATCAGCAATGGRTTTTGAGCTTTAATTGCCTGCAGATGCTGAGAAGCAGAGTGACTGCTGTAAGAAATTGGAATCTCAGGACAAGGGACAAGGTTTCTTCCATTCCATGCCTTAGCATCTGCAGAGGAAAGGAGATCCTGTAAAGTCCCAAWAAGAGGGCATTGGCTCTGCAGAGGATTATGAAGGCTTTTGGTGATTTACTTGAAGAGCTTTACTGCTTGTGTTGTTTGATAGTGAGGCTGCTGTACAAGCCTATGTTCCTTTTACTCTTAATTACTTTCAATTCTGAAGTGAATCTACCACCCTGGAGGTGTGTGGCTCAGAGTAGGTTCTTCAGGCATGAGCTGTCTCAGCAGTGCTTCCAAGGCCTGGAGCAGGATGATTGCAGAGGCATTTCTTCAAGGGAAGAGCAATCAGAAAGAGGATCTTCACATASAAGGCACTCTGTGATCCCAGAGTTAGAAACATTTCAAAGGCCAGACACAGTCCCAGCTGCCTTGGGAATATGTGAGAWCCTATTCAGCCCAATTACACTGACAAAAAAGACCAAAGAGCATATGCAAAAATTTAGGGAAGTTATAAGTGTGTAGAAATCATATCCTTTGAAAGAATGTTRCAAGATGGAAAGGATGTTCTGTAGTTCTGAAACAGGTATTTCTGATGTAAGGAAAAAATTCACAATTCAAGTTCTTGGAATATTTTATTTGCTTTGATATTTTCTTTCTACCTTCACAATAGAAGATGTCCTGGGCAAAGAACCTCCAAAGTCCCCAGTGATGTGCCCATGAAGGGGTGCAGTGGTTAGAAAAATGGGTCCTTGAAAGCTGCTTCATTTCTGGGGCTACAAGAGTCCAGAAGGGCTCTGATGAGGACAGATATCTGTGGAAGTGACATTGCTCTGATCAGTTTGGGACCCTGCAACACAGCAATAACAGGCTGTGCTTTACAAAGAGCCYGTATAGCAGTGATATTATTGAGAATAGTACTTTGATTAAAGTAATCTTTTGATTRAAGCTCAAAAACCCAGGGCTTGGGGATAAAGTGCAGAAGCCTGCTAGCCAACTGACTGTTCATACAAGAAACTCTTCAAGTGTTCATAGCTATAGTCAGAGGACAGCCAGATAAGAAGTAAAATTCAGTTCTGTTATTTGACATTTTCAGTATCAGACACTAGTGAGCACATTTCTTTCTGGTGTGGAGGGTAAAATGAAACTTCTCTTTGATGGGTGTCTCAGCTCAACCTTCAGGAGCTGGTTAAAAAGGCTCATTGTAGGACCTGATCTATTTTCATTGCATGTGTTACGCAGATTTCCTTAAAAAGGAATCTTCTGCCTTAGCTAGGGAGATAAATAATGAGAAAACATCTGCTCTTTAAGCTCTGGACTGACCTATAAATCTTAATGACGTATGCAATCCCAGAAGTAGAAATCATCTACAGATTGCAAAATTCTCTCACTCTGATTTTGGTTATTTTATTCTGGTGGATGGCGGGAGCTGATAATTTGACTGGGTTTTTTTCTTTTCTTTTTTTTTTTTTTTTTTTTTTTTTTTTTTTTTTTTTTTTTAAGCAATTTGACTGTTGCTCCTCTAATTCCTGGTAATTTGGAAGCCTGAGTGTGGTGTTTTTCCCCTCACTGTGTCATTATAACTGATAGGAGCTGGTGAGAGGAGGGCATGGCAACCGTAATAACACAAGAGGGGTGGAACAGGCAGCCCTTACAAGGAGCTGACAGGCAGAGAATAATGACAGAGTACAGGATGGATAACTAACAGTTTGGATGATTTAGTCTTAAGAAGCTCTGGAGGGTGGGATGCTTCTTTGCCTGTTTATTTCAACCTCACATGCTGAAAAAATGAGTTTCCTTAGCTATTTTAATATTTCGCTATATTTTTTCCTACCAGGGAATTGGAATCTGCTTTTCCCTTCAGCACTTCCCCCCAGCCTGCCTTACAAAGGCAAGGCTGCTCTTGAGAATGACAAGAGGCTCCTCTCTTTTTCTGCCTCTAGAGCTGCAACAGCAGYGAGCATTTAAAACAATTGTAACAGTGATGACCATCAAATTAAAGAGGCTGGAATTCAAACTGTTGTGGAGAATGCCAGGTTCTGTATTTAGAGAAGGAACGTGTGGGGCAGGGTTCACCTGCTTCATTAGCTAAGATGCAGCAACATTGGACTCGATGCTCCTTGTAGGTCACTTCCAACTCAAAAAGCTCTGTGATTCTGATATTGAATTTCCCTGAGATGCTGCAAAGTAGAGAGCCTCTCATGCAGCAAGTCATTCTGTTACCTCTTTGCTTACTGCAAGGTCAGGCTAATTTTATTCTCCATTTCATGTTGCTTTAATCTAAACGCTGGAAGAGGTGATGTTGGRGAAAAAGTCTCAGGAGACTGTGAGCAGCATATGGACCATTTCTATGGATAAATCATAGAACCATCTGMATGCAAGTGGGCAGGGATGGAGTAATTCTTCTCCTGAAGCTGTTAAGACATCCTTGCTTCCCATGACTCAGTATCCTGGGTCTGTAATTTCACAGACAGGTTTGAGGATAARATGCCTATGGAAATCATTCTCTTATTTGTCCCAGTCTGGAACAGGTGGGACAAGYAAGGTGGGCTGGAAACTCAACCGTCTTCTAGCAGTGATGCTCCCAGGGCAGAAATCACCCTATTCTGAATTACAGACTACTACTACTACACCCTATTCTGACTTCAATTCTGGAATGGCAGGGCAAACAAGCACAYTAAAAGTAAGATAGTGCTGTATAGCTCGAATGGCAATTCAGGGAGCAAGAGCTAAAATTAAACACATGGTGATACTCTGTTTTGTTGTTTYCTGTGCCCTGAATACCATCTGCTTGAAAATCAGGTGAATCAAAGTGTTATTCTGAAGGGCTGCTCTTATTAGATTGATATTTTCTTCGGGTGGAGCACAGAATCTTGCCTAAGAGAGGACATATTAGGAGCTTAATCAGTAAACACAGAAGAGACTGCAAACTGATCAGTGGTCAGGGGAGGGTGAAYGGGTTTGACTGACATCTGGAGTAAAGCAGTGCTGTGCTCTTTCAATTACAGGTTTAAGACTGCCACAATTGGCAGATTAAAGGTGTTCACCCTAATCCAAAATTATACTTTCCTCAGTCAAATTGACCATTGTGTCAGCTTCAATTTGTTCAGACACGTCACCCACATGAGTGATTGAACTGATTCACTTGCACACTCTTTGACAAGGTCCCTGTTTTGTGTTCACTCCTTACTCTTGCTATTTCCCTTGTCAGACASATACTCCAGAGGCATTTCCATTATCTCCCATGTAACTGTACCTCAGAAATGTACTGGACTGGAAAGAAAAATCCTCAGGCCAATTATTCTGACATAAACTCTACTTATCAGAAAGCASAAGAATATGAAGCATAAGTTAAAATAGCTCAAAAATAGGACACATCCCTACAACATACACCCCAGGCAGACACCTAAGTAATGCTGTGCTCAGTCTCTGCTGTGACTGAGYATGGATGAGCACTTTTACATAAGAAACAACAAAAACATTGCCTCAACATCCAGATCAAAACAGTGTCTCTGATAATGCAAGCACTTTAATTTAAAACAAAAGCAAAGGATTGTTTGCAGGGATCTGCCCTGATTTTTTCAGTTCAAAGTGGCCTAATGCGTTATCTGTAATCTTTCTGACTCTTTGAAAAAGAAGAAAAACAATGTGTACAAATTTCTGAGAATCTTGCTGATGCTGATTCTCATTGGATGATGAAACAGGTAATAAGAGATGAGTTGCATTTCTTTCCCACAAGCTGAAGGAAAAAGAGGTATTCATCTCATAAGCTGGAGAAGTGAAGTGGTATTCAGTTAGTGAGTTTTACCTTTAGCCAAATTCATCTCCCTTCTGAGCCAGACTGAGAGCACATCACACTCTCCTGCAAAAGCTTCACATGGGGAGGTTTTGGAGGGCTCTTAGTGGTGTAACTCACTYGAATCTTTTTTTGAGGTGAGGTAGGTACTTGTATAAATAATGTCATTGTCYTCTCATATTCTTTTTCATCTCTGCTAGTGTTTTGGTTTTGTTGG